TATGCCCAGAGGGCAGCAGTATCACACCAACTGGGCCGGCCTTCTGGGGCGGGAACATTGTGTGCCCGAGGCACATCGAAGTGTGCTATACCCACTAGGCGCGCAGTGCTGGCGCTGATGTGAGTCAGTTGGCATTAATTTTTTCCTCAATTTTAGTGGTCGTGCTGATCACGGTTTTAGTATTAATGTGTTGATCATAGCATAGGAAGCACGCTGCGCAAACGCCAAATTTGTGATGTTTGGGTTCGTGCTGGGGGCAGGCAGCTCCAAGCGGCAACACCTTTCTCTCTTTTTCCCCACTTTAAGATGAAACTGACACAAAAATAACAAATAAAAATGCGTGTTTTTTTTTTACAGCTACTGCAAGCGAGGGAAAAGGGGATACAGCGCTGCGCATGACACACAGCGCGTAGGAAAAGTTATTTTCATTGTGTTGGAGGTTATTATTATTATTGTTTTGTGTTGGGGGAAGTTGTGGGGAGTGGTAATGATTTTACTTTTGTTATTATTATTATTGAGGGCCTTTCAGGGGAATGGGGCAGGTTTGACGCGCGTGCGGTGGGGTAACACCCCGGTGTGATTCTCTCGGATTTGCCATTGCGTGTCGTTGCTCTCAGTGCATGGTTTTTGAAGGACAATTAAGTTCATGGGCAGGCTTGTTTACTGCCTCCCGCACACGCTGCACCGCACACTTTTTGAGGTAGATTGGCCAGCCGCGGCTGAATGACCCAACGGCTTTTTACCACGCTTTTGCTTGGCACATCCCCCGCAATTGAGTTGCCATAGCTGGTGGCTCTTGGGCCGTGGGCGGAGCAAAAAAAGAAAGAAAATGGATTTTGCCTTTCCGTGGCATTTTTGCCATGTTGGCGGGCTGAGAGTTCATGAGGGCAGTTGGCAACGCACCGTCGGCCTTTTCGTGGTGAATAGCCGGCCCTCGGGGAGGGTGCGCCGGGGTGACCCCACTCGCAATAATGCGCCCGGGCCCCCATTGGCGGATGAAGGCTTCCGCGAGCAACGGCGCGCCCGCGTTTAGTTCCAGGCGGTGCGGCATCGGCTGGGAAGGGTGCCAGCCGTTGCCTCGCCAAGGGGCTGCTCGGGCAGAACGTTTGAGCGACACGTAGGCACACTCGTGGCGATGCCTGCGGTGCGGCTTCGCGGCGACTGATGGGAAAACACACCACGGGCACTTGTCGGCGGAAGGTGCGATCGGGCGGCTCCCCGGCACTGGGCGGAGCCTGGGGGGCTCTGAGGGCACCGCGCGCAAAAAAAAAACCAGTGCCCTCGACAGCGCCCAGGCCGCCGTTGCGGGAGCGAGTCAATCAGGGCGCCCCCGGCCCCTCAGGTGCCGGAAGTTTGGAAAGCGTAGCGGAACGCGGCACCCCCTGCGCCGAGGCACCTGTGCGCTGCGACGGTCAACGTGCCGGGATGGCCTTGTTGAGGTCGGGTTCTGCGCTGGGCGATGCGGCCGTCTGCGGCGCTCGCGCTAGCCCGCGCGCATGGTCGTGGGGAGCGCCCTGGCTGCACTCGGCCCGGCCCTCTGCCCCCCACAGCAATTGCAGCGGCTTCTTACAATTTCGTTGTTGCTGGGGGCCCAGAGCGTATTAAATGCCCCTATTGCCTGCGGGTGCATCGCGTGCTGGGGTGGCGCCGGGCAGAGGGAGGGCAGGGTGGCCGTGCCCCGGCGGGTGCGTATGCAGCAGCCGCTTTGCTGCTGGAGGGCAAATATGCCGCTTCCGGGCGAAGCAGGTAGGAGAATAGGGGCGTCCGCAGCCTCTGAGCCCTCCGCGGGAGGACCGGTGCCTCACGCGACGCACTGCGGGGGTGCATGGGCGTGGCGCACGGTGGAAGTCCCGCCCGGGCCAGTTCGGCCGCCCCCGGGGCCAGCGCCCTATCGAACTGGTTCGCGTCGATCAGGAAGAGGAGGGTGGGGAACTCGCGTCGAGGTTTTCTCAGCAAGAGGCGCGACGTCTGCACTGTTTCTCCATCCTTGCCGTGGAGCGAACACCAGACAACGATGCCGGCGGATTTTACAAGGAGGGTTTCAAGGTGGGGAGAGGCGCCGTG